TTTCCCTAGAATAAAATGGTCTTCACTCATATTTATGATTCATTTCTAGCTTTCCCCCCTGATGTCCCAATTACCATATAAGCCACAAGCCACGAGGACATAATTTTGAGATGGAGGGGAGTGTATAATTGAGGGTTAATGCCTGTGCCTTTTGAGAACCCCCTTTGAGAAAGGTGAATGATAGAAAAGAACATCACCAGCCATAACAATAAGGTGCACGTTATTCCCACAAGGGCTCCTAGTGCTGCTTTTGACATGGATAATGGAACCAAAATGATCTAAGAATGCCCGCTCGTGCCCCATGCACTCACCCTGTCAACATGCACACAGAGTCTCTCACCTTCCATGTCCCCGTTTTCCCAGAAACATCATCCAACCCATCAATCTCACAGAAAACAAGTTCACAGAAAAATAACGAACCAATTCCCCAGCATAACACTTTCACTCACGACTGCTGAATTCCACTTCCTCACTCTCAATGTTTCTGTCATTTTGTTTTTTCTTACCTTTTTCAGACCAACTTTTCCATATGCAAACTTCGGTGTGGACGGAGGGATAGGGCCTTCAGGTACTTTTTCAAACTATAAACCAGAGTGGAAAAAGAAAAGAAAAACAGCCATTAAGCTCTCAGAAACATATCTATACAATTCATGTTTCAAAAGGAGGGTCAAAGAGTCAAACAACAGTGCCAGTGATTTTTGGAAAGGCAAAGGAACCAAAAACTCTCCCCAAAACAGAACCTAAGTGTATATCTTTGTATGTCTGTTCTTTAAGCTCCAGGAATCATTCAAATAATTATAGAACAAAAGACTTCAAACCGAAAGCAAAAACAAGTAGAGAGAATAAAGGTGACAGCAGAAGACTGGAGTGGAGCAGAAAAGGAAAACGGTACATGGTAAAATGGACTCTGAAGGGCGGGAGTTTATTGTTGGAAAAGATGGTATTTGCAGATTAAATCTCATTGGTAGATTAAAGTTTTGTGTCAATGTTAAATTTGCTGTGGTTATATAAGAGCATATTCCTGCCTATTCTTACAAAATACACACTCAAGTATTTAGGGGTAAAGGGTCCTGATGTCTGCAACCCTCCAGAGGTTTAGGGAACACACGGGCTTGGCGAGGGGCAAATGATGATGCAAATAGAGTGAAATGTTGACAGGGGTGAATCTGGGTGTGGAATATACAAGTGTTCTTTGTAATATTCTTAGTCTTGAAACTTTTCTGTAAGCTTGAAATTCTTTTTAAATAAAAAAATTTAGAAAATAAAACCTTATTAAATATGTACACACACAGAGTCACACACACAGTTTATATTAACATCAGAAGGTATGGGTGTAATTCCCAGGTCTTAAAAACGTCTATGTCCATCTGGAATCTCCAAGTAGGTTGTATTATGATCTGTCAGGATCCTTACAGTTCTTTCTTTCCTCCTTTCTCCCTTCCTTCCTTCCTTCCTTCCTCTCTCTTGCTCTCTCTGCTTCCCTTTTTAAAAGTAGTAAAAAAAGAAGAGGATAAAACACTGCTATAGTAAAAAGCAATAGTCTCCTGACTCACTATTCTCTTAGTTCTGTTCTTCAGAGGAAACCATTTTAAAATCATTTAATTCTTCCAATTTTTGCTTCTTTTAGTCTCTAAATAATATACTCATCTGCTATTTCTTGTTCAATCAATTTAAAGCATGATTATTGATTTCTTAAATACATGGGATTTAGCTCAGCTGTACTCTTCTGGGTATCTCCCTTTCTTACCAATGTGGTTATGTCATTTTCACTTTCTCTACTGGTTAAATTTGTAGCTTTAAATAATATCATATACTTATATCTCAGTTCTAACCAATTAAGACATCCCTTGTGTCCACACATTTAAACATAAGGCTATTTGCATGCTTTGCTGAGCTCTCCTCTACACTCCCACCTTCAAACCATCAACTCTACTTTTTACATTGTCACGGTTAAAGGTCTAGTCTATAGCCATAAGTCCTCCCTTCAAGTTGACTCTAAATTAAAAATCAGGGCTTCCCTGGTGGTGCAGGGGTTAAGAATCCGCCTGCCAATGCAGGGGACACGGGCTCAAGCCCTGGTCCAGGAAGATCCCACATGCCGCGGAGCAACTAAGCCCGTGTGCCACAACTACTGAGCCTGTGCTCTAGAGCCCGCGAGCCACAACTACTGAGCCCATGTGCCACAACTACTGAAGCCCATGCACCTAGAGCCTGTGCTCTGAAACAAGAGAGGCCACCTTAATGAGAGGCCTGTGCACCACAACAAAGAGTAGCCCCCACTCGCTGCAACTAAAAAGAAAGCCTGCGTGCAGCAACAAAGACCCAACACAGCCAAGAAAAAAAAAAACAATCACCAATGCTCACATGATTATAATTATATAAATATTGCTCTCTGCACAGCTAAGTGGTGGATATGTACTGGGCTGGCATGTCCTCTCTCCTTGTAGATGATTTTTTTCCTCTTCTTTTCCCTGGGGTTTCTAACTGCTTTCTTTTTTCCTGTCTGTCGTTAGGTTAACTTCCAAATTTCCAGAGCTGGTATCAAGTTTCTCCCCCCCCTCTTTCCCCCCGCCTAGAAAACTTCCTACTGGAACCCTCAGTCTTCCTGCTCCAAGGCTTGAGAGTCAAGGATTTTTTTTTTTAACTTTTATATTTTATTTATTTATGTATTTATTGTCCCGCTGCATGGCTTGTGGTATCTTGATTCCCTGACCAGGGATTGAACCTGGGCCCACAGCAGTGAAAGCGCCGAGTCCTAACCACTGGACTACCAGCAAATTCCCTGAGAGTCCAGGATTTACCTTCATTATTCTTCTGGCTTTTCCCTCCTGTTTCTAGACTCTCATGACTTCCTCATTTCACTAGAGAAATCGCAAGTAACTTCCTAAGGACTGGTACATGGGAGGTAAACTTCCTGAATCTTTGCAATGTCTGAATATGTCACATTTAATTAATAATTTAGATGAGTATAGAATTCTATACTGAAAATCATTTTCCCTTAGGATGACAAGGGTACTGTTCTGTGTCCTCTATCACCTGGTGTGGCTCATGCCAGGCTCATTCCTGAAAAAGGTGACCAGCTTTTTCTCTCTAGAAGCTTGTAGGCTGTTTATCCTCGATGTCCTAAATTTTTATAAGGATGTGTCTGGATACATATGTTTTTTACATTCATTATGCTAGGCAACTCAGATATCCTTTTCTGTTTTGGAAAAAATATGTGTACTGTTTCTTTGATGTTTTCTTTTTCTCCATTTTTTTTCCCCTTCCTTGTAAGTAACCTGCACATCCTAGATTCTTCCTCTGTATGTCTCATATATTCTCTCTTGTTTCCATCACTGTCTTCTGGTTCTAATTTCTAGGATATTATTTTTAATTTCCCATAACTTTTTCTTGGTCTCCTTTATCCAAGTACCCTCTTATTTTATGGATGCAATATCTTCTCAAATCTCTCTAAAGGATATAAATTTGAGAAAGTTTGCTTTGTTTTGTTTAAGATCTCTCCTGTCTCCTGAATTCTCTGTTGCCTTTAGGGTTATTTTCCTGTTTATTTCATCTTGGTCTTTCTCTTTCCC